GGGTGCTACAAATCGAATGCTGAGACCGGGTTCTACAAATCGAATGCTGACACCGGTTGCTACCAATCGAATGCTGACACCGGGTGCTACAAATCGAGTGCTGACACCGGGTGCTACCAATGGAATGCTGACACCGGGTGCTACTAATCGAATGCTGAGACCGGGTGCTACTAATCGAATGCTGAGACCGGGTGCTACCAATCGAATGGTGGGACCGGGTGCTACCAATCGAATGCTGAGACCGGGTGCTACAAACCGAATGCTGAGACCGGGTGCTACCAATCGAATGCTGACACTGGGTGCTACAAATCGAATCAAGAGTTTACCATTTGGGAATGGATTCCTGGTACCAATGTGTTGTTTCTTTACATCAAAAACACTACACAACTTTTAAAAAGTCCTGCGTGTCGAATAGATTGGCCTTGATATCATGCGATCATCTAAAACCAGGTGTTTTTCAAACCACCGTGTCATTCCTCAGACCTGTACTTGGCGCCCTCTGGAGAGATCTTACTCGTCTTGGTGCTGACAACCAATATTTTCTTGTCACTGTCAATACAAGATTTACTCGTTTTATCGGAGTTTTACCACCATCAAAACCTCAAACTAGGATTTGACAGTCTGACTCACTTCATACAGCTATTCATTTTACCGTTTTTGTGGTTGCTATTGATTAAATTGTTAAGGCCTGATGTTTTATACAGCACTAGAAACTGTACATCAGCTTGAACAGCAAAGATATGACTTATTTACAAGAATGAAACTATTTATGCATTATGTTAGCTGTTAAGCTGAAGCAAGATCCAAATCAAACTGAAGGCTTCCGATTTCAATGAATGATTGGCTTTATGGCATTTAGGTTAAACAGTGAGTGATATCTTTGTTTGGTTCCTGGTTTATATCAAAATGTTCCATAAACTACGTAACATACAACAAATAAAAATGACGATAAAAACATGACTCGTTAAAGAAAACTTATCTCTAACAAAGAAAACAGGCCAAGCTAGAATATTAAACATGCAACAGCCACAGGGTTCCCTAATGGAACTATTTCGGAACATTTCGTGCAGTCCATCAATCACGTGAAGGTATTGGACAAATACGTAACAGAGAGAGATTGTGGTGATGAGGATATAATCCTGCCTGGAGATTGGACATGGAGACATTGATGCGTGTATGGTCTGTTGTTGTAACCCAAGTCACCACGCCTACAGTGTAACGAACTCGCCAGTTCTGGACAGTTTAAAGCTTGATGAATGGCTGTGATTACGTATGATATTGTACATGTAATGTGGAGATAATGTACACAACGCACTAGGTGTAGTTGTGTGTATCAGACATGTTTCAGTGGCCCATTACTCTCAGGCTGCCGATTGATATTTGAATAAAGAAAATTGATAAAAAGAAATACAAGTGCGAAATCACTATTGACGCAATTTTAAATCCTATTGAGTTCAACGCTCAGCAGGAACACATTTCTAAAAGTTAGTTTCATCTGTCGACATGCTGTATATGTAAAATGGTTCGTGTTTGAAATTGATTCGTTATAAAGCTGGCTATGGTTTGAAAATTCAACTATAAACATTGTGACCGAAATAAACGAATAAAACATGTTTTAGTTAAGTGTGCATAGAGTGTCGGATTTCATTGTCATAGGAATCACAGAACATCTAATGACCAGTTGTAATGGTCAGTTATATCATAGAATAGAACCGTTCGTCTTTTGGTTTGTGATGGGAGGTCACAATGCGAGGTAGTTAGTTGTTAAACAGTTCGTAATTTGATAAAATGCCTTTGATGTTGATTATGTTCGAGGCTGTATTTTGTATACGATAAAAGAAAGATAAACATATATCAACATGATGCCTGTATTTTATATCATTCAAACATCGTTCTATTGGTCCATGTTATTTTGATAGTCATGATGTCATGCTGCATTTGTATCTCCGACGCCGAGGAAAAAATGGTGACAATGATTGTTGTTATTGATTACAGGAAACAACAGTGTAGGTTAGAGGAAGAGTATATTCCCTGGAGAATACATTCTGTGTAAGATAAACAAGCACATTTACGCTTCCGTTGCAGTCTCTAGATAAAGCTTATGAACCAGAATGTGAATAGCTATCAATATTTACACATGAAGATTAGACCAAGACAACAGTACACACGCCATTCCTCATACCGACTGTTAACGGTGTTTTCTTACATCCCTAATTTCTCATGTGAACATGATTTAAATTTGAAGAGACATGGAAAACATCTAGAGATGTAATATTGCATGGTACATGTATTCTCAAACAAGTAAACACAAATATCGATATTGTCCTTTTTGAACTAAGAACTGCTTTTTGTAAAGGTGTTTATTAATGACACCTAAGTTGCGCCACCTACTGCTTCCTGTACGATATGGCAGTTCAAATGAACTCGCCATTGTTCCAACGAAGTGTAGGATGAGCATACAGCATGGCCGTCGTTTTCTGCCAACATTTCTTCCAAATCGCTGCTAGTCTTAAACGACTGCGAAAGAAAAACATTTAGTTTGAACAAGACAACATCTGTTAACACAAGGAAGTGAGCGATACAGGACCAGTGGACATCTTGTTTAATCATCTTATGAGAATATGTACATAATGTAGTTATCATAACCAACTATAAGGGTAATTATTTATCTTCTACATCGAAATGTATCAATACTCGGATAACTAAATGTAACTGTTTACATTTAATGTAAATACACTTCGAGCATGTATAGAAATGCAATATATATAAGTGTGTGTGTGTGTATAACGAGTTGTTTCACAAGTCTATTCGTTAAGTTTCGCTTTTGTCTTGCGGGGTTTAACGCCCTCGTAGTAGGTGTCGATTTTAAGAGGAACTCTAAATACGGAAAACCAAGTACAGAAAGAAAAGGCAGACTGGGGAAATGGAAAGGCCAGAATATTGGACTCATCAATGTCATTTTGGCAGAATATTGGACTCATCAATGTCATTTTGGCAGAATTTTGGACACATCAATGTCATTTTGGCAGAATTTTGGACTCATCAATGTCATTTTGGCAGAATTTTGGACTCATCAATGTCATTTTGGCAGAATTTTGGACTCATCAATGTCATTTTGGCAGAAACCGACGATTCTGACAATATCAGTCTCCTTTTACGATCATACAGTTGTTATTTGTGAAGACGTTTCCTACAACTGTGACGTTTTGATACTGAAGCAAGGCGAAGTATTAAGATGTGTTTATGTTATATGGTTTCATCTGTTTTGGGTCTATTTACCGATATTGCTGTCGAGAAGTTCCAATGTGTAAATGCGACTCAATCCAGATACTGCAATTGGCTTTTGATTACACGATATATATCATAAAATACCGCCAGTACCGAGACAGATATTCTATTTGTAGATGACACCATGCCGTGCAGCACCCATTCTTTCAATAATACACGGTTACACCTGTAGGTAAATACACGTAAGACTCGCGCGGTATACATAATAATTTTGTACGACTCAAAATTTTCTACTGATAACATGTTTCTGTAGATTGCTATACCCGCTGAGTGATACACTGGCAAGAGATGGCACGCCTAATTTATAATTAAATATCAACAATTCATGCGATAAGAAGACGACGATAGAAATAAATCATTACCTAAAAGTACACAAACATAATTTATTTTATTGTTGATAACAACTTATAATGACATAGATCGTAATTCGTAATAAAAAAAAAAAAAAAACTGTAATGGAATAATTGTGTAATAGCTTATGTACCAACGTGAAATCAGTGACGTCCATTGATAAATGAGTACAGCGTAACTTCTATATCTTCTATATACAATTATCTCATTATTTGACAATTAGAAACACAATGGTTGAGCTTGGATATGTTAATATAGATATATCCTTCAAACATTGACACTTGCCAAGGAACGAACAAGTGATCTACTCGCCACGGACTACTTTTGCGAGAGAGAGAGAGAGAGAGAGAGAGAGAGAGAGAGAGAGAGAGAGAGAGAGAGAGAGAGAGAGAGAGAGAGAGAGAGAGAGAGAGAGAGAGAGAGAGAGAGGGGGGGGGGGAGGGAGGGGGGGGATGGGAGAGGGAGAAAGAGAGAAATAATTGCAGCAGGTAATTAACATGTACAAAGGAAGGAGTAGCTTCTGTGACGAATAGTTCCTATGTTGAGTACATACGTTTATACTAACCAATAGGTGAGCTACTCGTGCATGCGTGCATCAATCTAGATATCCTGTTTGAGATAAACATTTTGTACAGTTCATAAAAGTAAACAAGGGCAATATATGAAGTATAACAAGGACATTTATACACATCAATCCACAACGCAATTTAAAAATTGCATTAAAATTGATCTAATCAGGTCGATTTGCTTAACACGCAAATATGGCCGACACTGGGTAGCTTTGATTACGTGTTTATTCACTGTATGTAAAAGTTTCATTAACAAAGGAAATGACTGTTCTACCACGCTTCTTTCATTGTATACCACTTGTTTCCAGTTTGATCATTTTGCCTGAAGCGATCAGTTAGAGAGTATCACGGTTGTTAGCGATAGGTTAGAGAGTATCACGGTTGTTAGCGATCGGTTAGAGAGTATCACGGTTGTTAGCGATCGGTTAGAGAGTATCACGGTTGTTAGCGATCGGTTAGAGAATATCACGGCTATTAGTGATCGGTTAGAGAGTATCACGGTTGTTAGCGATCGGTTAGAGAGTATCACGGTTGTTAGCGATCGGTCAGAGAATATCACGGCTGTTAGTGATCGGTTAGAGAGTATCACGGTTGCTATCTATCGGTTAGAGTAGCACGGCTGTTTCTTCTTTACTTTTGTTATTTCAGACACTAGTTTTTCCATTTGAGGATATGTTGTCGGTATCACTAGAAAAAAGGTGAACTAATGCTACATGGTTTAGAAGACACCGGTCAGTGAGTAACATGGTTTGTATGGGAGACGGGTGCATGTGTTGAGAACGAGTTTGTGAGTTATCGTGGTATGTTTTCATAGACCTTAGTCACGAAAGGTTTTGTAGGCCTCTGTGATGATGATTCGTAGGCCTCCGTGAGTATGTTCTTGTAAGCCTCCGTAAGTATGTTCCTGTAGGCCACCGTAAGTATGTTCTTGTAGGCCCTCATGAGTATGTTCTTGTAGGCATCCGAGAGTATGTTCTTGTAGGCCTCCGTAAGTATGTTCCCGTAGGCCTCCGTGAGTATGTTCTTGTAGGCCTCCGTAAGTATGTTCTTGTAGGCCCTTATGAGTATGTTCTTGCAGGCATCCGTGAGTAAGTTCTTGTAGGCCTCCGTAAGTATGTTCCCGTAGGCCTCCGTGAGTATGTTCTTGTAGGCCCTCATGAGTATGTTCTTGTAGGTCTCCGTAAGTATGTTCTTGTAGGCATCAGTGAGTATGTTCTTGTAGGCATCCGTGAGTATGTTCCCGTAGGCCTCCGTGAGTATGTTCTTGTAGGCCTCCGTAAGTATGTTCTTGTAGGCATCCGTGAGTATGTTCTTGTAGGTCTCAGTAAGTATGTTCTTGTAGGCCTGCGTAAGTATGTTCCTGTAGGCCTCCGTAAGTATGTTCCCGTAGGCCTCCGTGAGTATGTTCTTGTAGGCCTCCGTAAGTATGTTCTTGTAGGCATCAGTGAGTATGTTCTTGTAGGCATCCGTAAGTATGTTCCCGTAGGCCTCCGTGAGTATGTTCTTGTAGGCCTGCGTAAGTATGTTCCTGTAGGCCTCCGTGAGAATGTTCTTGTTAGCCTTCGTGAGTATGTTCTTGCGAGCCTAGGTGAGTATGTTCTTGTAGGCCTCCGTAAGTATGTTCTTGTAGGCCTCCGTGAGTATGTTCTTGTAGGCCTCCGTATGTTCTTGTTAGCCTCCGTGAGTATGTTCTTGTAGGCCTCCGTGCGTATGTTCTTGTAGGCCTCCGTATGTTCTTGTTAGCCTCCGTGAGTATGTTCTTGTAGGCCTCCGTAAGTATGTTCTTGTAGGCATCAGTGAGTATGTTCTTGTAGGCATCCGTAAGTATGTTCCCGTAGGCCTCCGTGAGTATGTTCTTGTAGGCCTCCGTGAGTATGTTCTTGTAGGCCTCCGTGAGTATGTTCTTGTAGGCCTGCGTAAGTATGTTCCTGTAGGCCTCCGTGAGAATGTTCTTGTTAGCCTTCGTGAGTATGTTCTTGCGAGCCTAGGTGAGTATGTTCTTGTAGGCCTCCGTAAGTATGTTCCTGTGAGCCTCCATGAGTATGTTCTTGTAGGCCTCCGTGAGTATGTTATTGTAGGCCTCCGTATTATCTTGTTAGCCTCCGTGAGTATGTTCTTGTAGTCCTCCGTGCGTATGTTCTTGCAGGCCTCCGTGAGTATGTTTTTGCAGGCCTCCGTGAGTATGTTCTTGCAGGCCTCCGTGAGTATGTTCTTGTAGGCCTCCGTGAGTATGTTCTTGTAGGCCTCCGTGAGTATGTTCTTGTTAGCCTTCGTGACTATATTCTTGTAGGCCTCCGTATGTTCTTGTTAGCCTCCGTGAGTATGTTCTTGTAGGCCTCCGTGCGTATGTTCTTGTAGGCCTCCGTGAGTATGTTCTTGTAGGCCTCCGTAAGTATGTTCTTGTAGGCCTCCGTGAGTATGTTCTTGTAGGCCTCCGTAAGTATGTTCTTGTAGGCCTCCTTACAGATGTTATACTTAGTATAAGTGGTTAATCATTAGTAAGAGGAGGGTGGAAAATGATTTTTGGGTCCATACATACGTATAAGTTGTTTTTCAATTTCCATTCTTCTTTCTAACAATTGTTCACTTTATCAATGCCCCTACTCTATACAATACTACACCTTCCCTGGCTTTTCGTAGCTGTTCTTTTGCCGACATTTAAAAGTTTATGTTTGAGATTGTGAAGTTAATATTGGGAGAAGCTGAAAGTGTCAGTAGGGGTATACTAAGTGGTAAATTAAATAGGTTTGTTACGAGATTATTGACCGAATGAGTGTGATGAATTTCGTGCGTTATGGGGTATGTGGTGATAGAAAAGAAAGACTACTGGGAGAAGTAGGAGATGGGTCGGTAGGTACGTCTATTTATTGGGCGGAGTACAGAAATGGTGCGTGTTTGTTGTATGTGTTTTATGTGAAATTACAGTTCGTCATTTAAATTGGTAGATATGTGCATCTGCAAAGGTGAAGAATGTGTACAATACAGAAAACGCCATGTTTTGTTTAAGTGCGGTGTCACGTTCTCTTGTCACTTCTGTTTCCAAGTATGTGGTATGTATGTTTTATGCGATAACTAAAGATGTACAATAAGTGCATCTGACGAGCTAATGAGTCCGTAAAATACACACAAAACGGTTTGGGACCTAGTGGGTGCATTGCTTGTACGGTTCCTGGAAAAAGGACCCCGCAGTATCTTTTGTAATTAACATTGTTATTCCAAGTTGATTTGTATCTGTCTGCTCTAATATATCGAAAAATGTTTGTATCTGTACTCTTTAGTGTACCGGGGTTTGTTTGTATCTGTCTGTACTCTGTGATGTACCGGAGTTTGTTTGTATCTGTCTGTACTCTGTGATGTACCGGGGTTTGTTTGTATCTGTCTGTACTCTGTGATGTACCGGGGTTTGTTTGTATCTGTCTGTACTCTGTGATGTACCGGGGTTTGTTTGTATCTGTACTCTATGATGTACCGGGGTTTGTTTGTATCTGTACTCTGTGATGTACCGGGGTTTATTTGTATCTGTACTCTGTGATGTACCGGGGTTTGTATCTGTAATCTGTGATGTACCGGGGTCTGTTTGTATCTGTACACTGTTATGTACCGGGGTTTGTTTCTATCTGTACTCTGTGATGTACCGGTGTTGATATCTGTACTCTGTGATGTACCGGGGTTTGTATCTGTACTCTGTGATGTACCGGGGTCTGTTTGTATTTGTACACTGTGATGTACAGGGTTTGTTTGTATCTGTACTCTGTGATGGAACGGGGTCTTTTTGCATCTATACTCTGTGATGTACCGGGGTTTGTTTGGATCTGTACTCTGTGATGTACCGGGGTTTGTATCTATACTCTGTGATGTACCGGGGATTGTATCTGTACACTGTGATGTACCGGGTTTGTTTGTATCTGTACTCTGTGATGGAACGGGGTCTGTATGTATCTATACTCTGTAATGGACCGGGGTTTGTTTGTATCTGTACTCTGTGATGTACCGGGGTTTGTTTGTATCTGTACTCTGTGATGTACCGGGGTTTATTTGTATCTGTACTCTGTGATGTACCGGGTTGGTTTGTATCTGTACTCTGTGATGTACCGGGGTCTGTTTGTATTTGTACACTGTGATGTACCGGGTTTGTTTGTATCTGTTTTCTGTGATGGAACGGGGTTTGTTTGTATGTACTCGGGGTCTGTTTGTATCTGTACACTGTGATGTACGGTGATGTAACGGGTTGTTTGTATCTGTACTCTGTGATGTACCGGGGTTTGTTTGTATCTGTACTCTGTGATGTACTTTGTTTGTACTGTACTGTGATGTACCGGGGTTGGTTTGTATCTGTACTCTGTGATGTACCGGGGTCTGTTTGTATCTGTACACTGTGATGTACCGGGTTTGTTTGTATCTGTACTCTGTGATGGAACGGGTTTGTTTGTATCTGTACTCTGTGATATACCGGGGTTTGTTTGTATCTGTACTCTGTGATGTACCGGGTGATTACCGGGGTGTTTGTATCTGTACTCTGTGATGTACCGGGGTATGTTTGTATCTGTACACTGTGATGTACCGGGTTTGTTTGTATTGTGATGGAACGGGGTCTGTTTGTATCTATTGTGTATGTGATGTACGGGGTTTGTTTGTATCTGTACTCTGTGATGTACCGGGTTTGTTTGTATCTGTACTCTGTGATATACGTACACGGGGTTTTTTTGTATCTGTACTCTGTGATTTACCGCGGTTTGTTTGTGTCTGTACTCTGTGATGTACCGGGGTTTGTTTGTATCTGTCTGTACTCTGTGATGTACCGGGGTTTGTTTGTATCTGTACTCTATGATGTACCGGGGTTTGTTTGTATCTGTACTCTGTGATGTACTGGGGTTTGTTTGTATCTGTACTCTATGATGGAAAGGGGTTTGTTTGTATCTGTACTCTGTGATGTACCGGGGTTTGTATCTGTACTCTGTGATGTACCGGGGTTTGTTTGTATCTGTACACTGTGATGTACCGGGGTTTATTTGTATCTGTACTCTGTGATGTACCGGGGTTTGTATCTGTACTCTGTGATGTACCGGGGTTTGTTTGTATCTGTACACTGTGATGTACCGGGGTTTATTTGTATCTGTACTCTGTGATGTACCGGTGTTGATATCTGTACTCTGTGATGTACCGGGGTTTGTATCTGTACTCTGTGATGTACCGGGGTCTGTTTGTATTTGTACACTGTGATGTACAGGGTTTGTTTGTATCTGTACTCTGTGATGTACCGGTGTTGTGATGTACCGGGGTTTGTTTGGATCTGTACTCTGTGATGTACCGGGGTTTGTATCTATACTCTGTGATGTACCGGGGATTGTATCTGTACACTGTGATGTACCGGGTTTGTTTGTATCTGTACTCTGTGATGGAACGGGGTCTGTGATTGTAATGGACCGGGGTTTGTTTGTATCTGTACTCTGTGATGTACCGGGGTTTGTTTGTATCTGTACTCTGTGATGTACCGGGGTTTGTTTGTATCTGTACTCTGTGATGTACCGGGTTGGTTTGTATCTGTACTCTGTGATGTACCGGGGTCTGTTTGTATTTGTACACTGTGATGTACCGGGTTTGTTTGTATCTGTTTTCTGTGATGGAACGGGGTCTGTTTGTATCTATACTCTGTGATGGACCGGGGTTTGTTTGTATCTGTACTCTGTGATGTTACGGGGTTTATTAGTATCTGTACTCTGTGATGTACCGGGGTTGGTTTGTATCTGTACTCTGTGATGTACCGGGGTCTGTTTGTATCTGTACACTGTGATGTACCGGGTTTGTTTGTATCTGTACTCTGTGATGGAACGGGGTCTGTTTGTATCTATACTCTGTGATGGACCGGGGTTTGTTTGTATCTGTACTCTGTGATGTACCGGGTTTGTTTGTATCTGTACTCTGTGATATACCGGGGTTTGTTTGTATCTGTACACTGTGATGTACCGGGTTTGTTTGTATCTGTACACTGTGATGTACCGGGTTTGTTTGTATCTGTACTCTGTGATGTACCGGGGTTTGTTTGTATCTGTCTGTACTCTGTGATGTACCGGGGTTTGTTTGTATCTGTCTGTACTCTGTGATGTACCGGGGTTTGTTTGTATCTGTCTGTACTCTGTGATGTACCGGGGTTTGTTTGTATCTGTACTCTGTGATGTACCGGGGTTGGTTTGTATCTGTACTCTGTGATGTACCGGGGTCTGTTTGTATCTGTACACTGTGATGTACCGGGTTTGTTTGTATCTGTACTCTGTGATGTACCGGGGTCTGTTTGTATCTGTACACTGTGATGTACCGGGTTTGTTTGTATCTGTACTCTGTGATGTACCGGGTTGGTTTGTATCTGTACTCTGTGATGTACCGGTGTTGATATCTGTACTCTGTGATGTACCGGGGTTTGTATCTGTACTCTGTGATGTACCGGGGGGGTTTGTTTGTTTCTGTCTGTACACTGTGATGTACCGGGTTTGTTTGTATCTGTACTCTGTGATGTACCGGGGTCTGTTTGTATCTGTACTCTGTGATGTACCGGGTTTGTTTGTATCTGTACTCTGTGATGGAACGGG